ACCCATTTGAATTCTCTAGCATACCACTATAACCTCTTCTTCTCGCCTCCAAAATAGTTATTACATGAGTAACAGTAACGTGAATATGAAAATTATTTATAAAATTATTACATTAAATTAAGAAAAACATGGCGTAAAGAACATTGTATTTCATCAACATCCTCTAATGAAACCATTCATCAATGCTCCAAAGCAAATGTATGCCCGTCTGAATTCTCCAGCATACCCCTTTGAATTTTATAAGTAATCCACCATTATAGTAGCCATTATTGTGAAATACAATCTTCCTTACGTCATTTTTCTTCTTTATTTAATTTAATAATTTAATAAATTGTTTTCACATTCACATTATTGTTAATTATGGAATAACAATTTTGAAGTTGGGAAGAAGGGTTGAATGGGTTGAAACTTGAAACTGTTTTACCTTTGGTGTTTAAAAATAAAATTGGCTTTTTATATTGAATTAATAGAGCAACTGACGGTAAGTAGATGTAATGACCTTTTTGGCAAGGAAATGTGAAAATAATGGTGAAAATGTCAAAAATAAAGGGTAGAGACGTTTTACATAATAATATTAAAAGATACAAGCGTTTTGTACTAATTACCCAGGCGTTTATATTGAATTAAGAAGCAATTGACGATAAGTGGATGTAATAACTTTTTGGCAATGAAATGTGGAAACAAGGGTAAAAATGCAAAGAATGAAAGGTAGGGACGTTTTGCATAATTGTGCTAACTACCCTTAAAATTTCTCTCGATGCATTTCCCTTTTCTTTATTTGAAGATGAGGGCAAAATAGTATTTCATTGGAGTTTAATGCCTGTTTGGACAAATGTCATCTATGATGTACCGACACGGAAACGTGTGTTCGACACGATAAGTTTAGGATATGACATCACGCAATTTTTCTAAAAGTAGTGACACGACACGTTACCGACACATTAATTAAAATCTTTAAAATTATTTATTTATATAGTATAAATTTAATTTTTTGATTATTTATTTTTCTTGTTGAAATTTTCAAGTATGAGTACCTATTTATTATTTAATAATAATTTTGAGTTAAAAATATATAATATTTTTTATAAAGAAAGAAAACAACCTTGGTAAAGCGTCGGAGGAGTGCCGGTATCCGACACAAGTTTGACACGTATCGAACACAGACACGCTACTCTAGTTGAAGTGTTCCTGCAACACAAAATGTCATAGGGATCCGTTAATCAAGAATGATAGATTGGACACTATCACTGCAATTTTCTCTTCCTTTTTTTTCCTCGCAAGGACTCAATTGACACTTTAGATTGACTTCATATTTTCCAACTATCTACGGGATCCGACAAATATGGTGTAATTATTGTAGTTGTAGTTGTTGGATCTGGCCACATATTGTGGAAGGTAATGTTTGTTGGAAAAATTAAGTTGTGGGGCTAGTTTCGACACTAATTTTGAGCAGGACCCGGTTGACTATTTTGAAAGATGGAGGTTGATTTGTGTTTTCCTCCGTGAGTATATCGAAATCGTATACTTACTTATCAAAAATGATGTTCGGGTGAATGAGAAATTGAAGTTCAAAGTATGCAATGTGAAAGGAGTTCGTTGGGAAAACTAAAAAAAAGTTAAAGGTTTGTCCCACATAGGAAGTGG